TCCAACTTTTTTTTTAGGCAATATAGGCGAGGAAACTGACTTTTACGATATTCTAGAGAGATAAAACGCCTTTTTAGGCTATAAAAACAAGAAGTTCAAAAAGTCGAAAAATTGAGATTTTTCCACAGGGGTTAACCCATGGTTTTGGTCCAAAAATGGCCAGTTTTCCAACTTTTTTTTTTTTAGGCAATATAGGCCAGGAAAATGTCTTCTACCATATTCGAGACCAAAAAAACGTCTTTCTAAGCTATAAAAACAAGAAGTTCAAAAAGTCGAAAAATTGACATTTTTGAAATGGGCCTAACCCATGGTTTTGGTCCAAAAATGGCCATTTTCCAACTTTTTCTTTTAGGAAATATAGGGCAGGGAAATGTCTTTTACGATATTCTAGAGCGAAAAAACGCCTTTCTAGGCTATAAAAACAAGAAGTTCAAAAAGTCGAAATATTGACATTTTTCCAAAGAGGTTAACCCATGCTTTTGGTCGAAAAATGGCCATTTTTCCAACTTTTTTTTTAGGCAATAGAGACCAGGAAAGTGTCTTTTCCGATATTCTAGAGCGAAATAACGCCTTTTTAGGCTATAAAAAGTAGAAGTTCAAAAAGTCGTAAATTGACATTCTTCCAAAGGGGTTAACACATGGTTTTGGTCCAAAAATGGCCATTTTTTACACTTTTTTTTTAGGCGATATACGCGAGGAAAATGTCTTTTACGATATTCTAGAGCGATAAAACGCCTTTCTAGGCTATAAAAACAAGAAGTTCAAAAAGTCGAAAAATTGCCATTTTTCCAAAGGGGTTAACCCATGCTTTGGGTCCAAACATGGTCATTTTTCCAAGTTTTTTTTTTTAGGCAATATAGGCCAGGAAAATGTCTTTTACGATATTCTAGAGCGAAAAAACGCCTTTTTAGGCTATAAAAACAAGAAGTTCAAAAAGTCGAAAAATTGACATTTTTCCAAAGGGGTTAACCGATGGTTTTGGTCCAAAAATGGCCAGTTTTCCAACTTTTTTTTTTAGGCAATATAGGCCAGGAAACTGTCTTTTACGAAATTCTAGAGCAAAGAAAGGTCTTTCTAGGCTATAAAAACACGACGTTTAAAAAGTCGAAAAATTGACATTTTTCCAAAGGGGTTAACCCATGGTTTTGGTCCAAAAATGGCCATTTTTTCAACTTTTTTTTTTTTAGGCAATATAGGGCAGAAAAATGTCTTTTACGATATTCTAGAGCGAAAAAACGCCTTTCTAGGCTATAAAAACAAGAAGTTCAAAAAGTCAAAAAATTGACATTTTTCCAAATTGGTTAACCAATGGTTTTGGTCCAAAAATGGCCAGTTTTCCAATTTTTTTTTTTTTAGGCAATATAGGCCACGAAAATGTCTTTTACGATATTCTAGAGCGATAAAACGCCTTTCTACGCTATCAAATCAAGAAGTTCAAAAAGTCGAAAAATTGACATTTTTTCAAAAGGGTTAACACATGGTTTTGGTCCAAACATTGTCATTTTTCCAATTTTTATTTTTTAGGCAAATTAGGCAAGGAAAATGTCTTTTACGATATTCTAGAGCGATAAAACGCCTTTCTACGCTATCAAAACAAGAAGTTCAAAAAGTCGAAAAATTGACATTTTTCCAAAGGGGTTAACTCATGGTTTTGGTTTAAACATGGTCCTTTTTCCAACTTTTTTTTTTAGGCAATATAGGCCAGGAAATTGTCTTTTACGATATTCTAGAGCGATAAAACGCCTTTCTAGGCTATAAAAACAATAAGTTCAAAAAGTTGAAAAATTGACATTTTTCCAAAGGGGTTAACCCTCTTGTTTTGGTCCAAAAATGGCCATTTTTTCAACTTTTTTTTTTAGGCAATATAGGCCAGGAAAATGTCTTTTACGATATTCTAGAGCGAAGAAACGCCTTTCTAGGCTGTAAAAACAAAAAGTTCAAAAAGTCAAAAAATTGACATTTTTCCAAAGGGTCATTCTTCCAACTTTTTTTTTTAGGCAATATAGGCCAGGAAAATGTCTTTTACGATATTCTAGAGCGAAAAAACGTCTTTCTAGGCTATAAAAACAAGAAGTTCAAATATTCGAAAAATTGTCATTTTTCCAAAGGGGTTAACCCGTGGTTTTGGTCCAAAGATGGTCATTTGTCTAACTTTTTTTTTAGGCAATATAGGCCAAGAAAATGTCTTTTACGATATTCTAGAGCGAAAAAACGCCTTTCTAGGCTATAAAAACAAGGAGTTCAAAAAGTCGAAAAAGTGACATTTTTCCAATGGGGTTAACCCATTGTTTTGGTCCAAAGATGGTCATTTGTCTAACTTTTTTTTTTTAGGCAATATAGGCCAAGAAAATGTCTTTTACGATATTCTAGAGCAAAAAAAGGTCTTTCTAGGCTATAAAAACAAGAAGTTCAAAAAGTCGAAAAATTGACATTTTTCCAAAGGGGTTAACCCATGGTTTTGGTCCAAAAATGGCCATTTTTTCAACTTTTTTTTTTAGGCAATATAGGCCAGGAAAATGTCTTTTACGATATTCTAGAGCGAAGAAACGCCTTTCTAGGCTGTAAAAACAAAAAGTTCAAAAAGTCAAAAAATTGACATTTTTCCAAAGGGGTGAACCCATTGTTTTGGTCCAAAGATGGTCATTTTTCTAACTTTTTTTTTTTAGGCAATATAGGCCAAGAAAATGTCTTTTACGATATTCTAGAGAGAAAAAACGCCTTTCTAGGCTATAAAAACAAGAAGTTCAAAAAGTCGAAAAATTGACATTTTTCCAAAGGGGTTAACCCATGGTTTTGGTCCAAAAATGGCCACTTTTCCAACTTTTTTTTTTTAGGCAATATAGGCCAGGAAAATGTCTTTTACGATATTCTAGAGCGAAAAAACGTCTTTCTAGGCCATAAAAACAAGAAGTTCAAAAAGTCGAAAAATTGACAATTTTCCAAAGGGGTTAACCCATGGTTTTGGTCGAAACATGGTCATTTTTCCAAGTTTTTTTTTTAGGCAATATAGGCGAGGAAAATGTCTTTTATGATATTCTAGAGCGAAAAAACGTCTTTCTAGGCTATAAAAACAAGAAGTTTAAAAAGTCGAAAAATTTACATTTTTCCAAAGGGGTTAACCCATGGTTTTGGTCCAAACATGGCCTTTTTTCCGATTTTTTTTTTTAGGCAATATAGGCCAGGAAAATATGTTTTACGATATTCTAGAGTTAAAAAACGCTTTTCTATGCTATAAAAAAATTGGAAGTTCAAAAAGTCAAAACATTGAGATTTTCCAAGGGGGTTATCCCATGGTTTTGGTTCAAAAATGGCCATTTTCCCAACTTTTTTTTTTAGGCAATATAGGCCAGTAAAATGTCTTTTACAATATTTTAGAGCGAAAAAACGCCTGTCTAGGCTATAAAAACAAGAAGTTCAAAAATTCGAAAAATTAACATTTTTCCAAGGGGGTTAACCCATGGTTTTAGTTTAAAAATGGCTATTTTTAAAACTTTTTTTTTTGATAATATAGTCCAGTAAAATGGAGAATGTGTTTTACTATATTCTAGAACGAAAAGACGCCTTTCTAGGCTATAAAAAAATTGAAGTTCAAAAAGTCAAAAAATTGAGATTTTTCCAAGGGGGTTATCCCATGGTTTTGGTCCAAAAATGGCCATTTTTCTATCTTTTTGTTTTTAGGCAATAAAGGCCTGGAAAATGTGTCTTACGCTATTCTAGAACGAAAAAACTTCTTTTAAGGGTATAAAAGCAAGAAGTTTAAAAAATCGAAAAGTTGAGATTTTTCGAAAGGGGTTAACCCATGGTTTTGGTCTAAAATTGTCCATTTTTCTATGGCTTTATTAAGGAATATAGGCCAGGAAAATGTGTTGTACGATATTGTTGAACGAAAAAACGCCTTTCGAGGCTATAAAAACAAGAAGTTTAAACATTTGGAAAATTGAGATTTTTCCAAAGAGGTTAACCCATGGTTTTGGTCAAAAATTGCCCATTTTCCCTTTTTTTTTTCGGGCAATATTGGTCAGGAGAATGTGTTTTACGACATTGTAGAACCGAAAAAACGCCTTGCTAGGCGATAAAAACAAGAAGTTCAGATAGTCGAAAAATCCAGATTTTTTCAAACTTTAACTTATTGTTTTGGTCAAAAATTGGCCATTTTTCCACCCTTTTTTTGAGGCAATATAGGCCAGGAAAGTGTGTTTTACGATATTCTAGATCGAACAAACGCCTTTGTAGGCTATAAAAACAAGAAGTTCAAAAAGTCGAAAAATTGAGGTTTTTCTAAAGGGGTTAACCGATTGTTTGGATATTGTGGATAGAAAAAAGTTTATTTTTTCAAAGTAGTAAGTCGATGATTTTGGTCAAAAATGTAAATTACTTTTAGTTTTCCTTTCTGGGAAATAAATCAAGAAATATAATTTTCTGATACTGTAGAAAGAAAAGAAGAGTTAAAATATGTTTTTTTAATGGGGTTAGTATATGATTTTTTTAAAAAAATGTTAAATATTTTCATATCTGTTTTTTTTTTGTGGTAAAATACAGGAAGAAATAAAATTTTGTGTTATTCTAGGAAGGAAAGATGTCTTTTTAGACTGTAAAAATACACTTCAGGCCCCGGCTGTTTAAAAGCTGGATAGCGCTATCTACCTTTTGAACAACTGGGGCCAGGAAAAGTCGTACAATTCATTGACGACAGCATCATTTGAAAGACGAATTCAAAAGGGCGCTTTCTTGAGCTGGATGGGGTTTGTTTATCTAGAGGAGGCTAAATAATTTTATATGTTTATACTAATGCATGAAAAATGTCTGCAATTGATTGGCTTAGAACAGTGGTATCTCAGCTTAATGTTGAAATACCTACATGTGAAAATTACAAACCTTCTAAGGGTAGTAGAATAAACAATTAATAGCATAATTTGTACGTGTCGTGATATTTCAAAATTGTCTCAAATTTCACTCGCCTAACGGCTCGTGAAATTACGCATAACAATTTTGAAATATCACTCGTGGTATTTATGCCAAATATCACTACAAATCATGCTATTACCTATACAAATTTTAACTCACAACGCAATTCTTATGGATACAACTAGTGTGGAAGTACCATTTTTTGTACAAGTAATTAACCGTAAACGAGAAGTTAAGGTAAAACAAAACTACGGTGATGGCGGCTTCTAACGATGATTTTTATTAACATTTGCCAAAATGTCACTTATGACATCTGTTTGTCATACTTCAAATATTCCAAGTATCCTACGATTCCCAACTGCAAAAAGACTATTTCTTCTGTTTACAATAAGATCTACTGAAGAGACGATAAAGAGAAAGAGAGTTAACACGTTCCCTAGGTCCTTTTTCCTCGGTATTCCCACAAACGTTTTGTTGGCAAAACAACGGAGAGAAATTTAAGTTCAATTAACTTTTTGAGCTGTAACCAATAACATTACCCTGAAATTCTGTGGAAGTACAGGGCCATTCTTTATCAGCATTCAGCAGCCCCTTATAAATACCTTTTGCCAGAAGGCGACAAATGAATTTTAAAACTCATTAAGCCCCAATATCCACATACAAATTCTCTAGAATGATCTCCATATATTTCCTTATACAATTAGTTGAGAGAATTTGTTGTAAATCAATAATTTTTTCAGGTGATCATTTTCTTAATCCTCACAACACCCTTTTGTCTTGATTGTGTAAAGATATTGTCGGGAGAAAATGTATGTTGCTCTCCCTAATTTTTACACACCACATGGAGTAGAAAATAATGAAATGATAGCCATGTTAGAGTTCCAAAAACTCCTGTGGTGATTTAACTCTTTTCTTATGCAAAAACGTTCTTTTGTTCCAAGAAATTTGTAAAGCTGCTGAAGTAAAAACGATCTACAAAGGGAACCTCGATATAACGAACCGCCAAGGGACAGGAAAAATCTGTTTGCTATACCGAGATTACGTTAGAGTATATCGAGGTTCTTTTTTATTCGTTTTACTGTTACTGGCGTAAAGAAAATCGTTCATTATTTTAACTGTCATTTTATCGAGATTCCATTACAAACGCTGGCCTTGATTTACTTTTTTCTGGCTTAGAGATTTGGGGTTTCTTTCATTTTCTGTCACAAGTAAAAGGATAAAATGTCGAAAAATTCATATTTCTCACCGTGTTATCACTAAAACTAATGTTACAGGGATTTTCCAGGAAATAGGGCCTATTTTGGTTTGTGGTTTTAGCTCATCTGACTGTTATCCTCCCTTTGTATACTACTTGCATCATAACAATATAAATAATTTACGAGCAGGATCATTAACTCCCATGAGTAAAAGGTAAATGTAGCTCTGTTAGCTAAACATATGTGAAACATGGTTTCTTGTTTACTTTTATAATAACATTTTAACTTCATATTAATAATTATACCATCAAAAGATTTTGGGGATAAAATATTTCTGTTCTTAATTTACAAAGTTACATATTATTGTTAGTTCAGCTTGGCCGGGGTCGCTTAGCTTCTGGCTCCAGAGACCCAGATCCTGACGGCCTAGTGGGAGAGCTACCAGACCCAGGAGCTTTGGAACCATCTACAAGTAAAAGATTTAAAAAGGATTGGTCACTAGAGCGGTTTTCATTTGAGTGTCGAAAGGTAATTGGTTTTGCGTTTACTACGCTACGTGATTGGCTTAAAAGATTCGCGCCACTTTTTTATCCAATCAGAAGGAAAACCAAAACCAATTGTGTCACGCTCGCATGCATTTTCCCGCGCTTTGCGTCAGCTACATGTAATTACTTCGAGTTTTAATTGGTTCACTGTATTGTCTGTGTCCTTTGTGATTGGCTAGAGTAATTACTTTGGTTTTGGTTTTACGATACTCAAATGAAAACCGCTCTAATCAATCCTACTACCTAACTACTAATAATTATACGAAGGTTAAGGATGTTAGCAACATCAATGCAAGGTCACAATGCTTTTGCTCTAATGCTGTGCTTTGCGTAAGTTTCACCGTGGCAGGATTAGCTCAGTTGGGAGAGCACGTGAGTGCAGAGCTGGAGGTCGCAGGTTAGATTATCAGGGTGGACCAATCCTTAGGGTCTTAAACAAACTAAGAAATGAAAGTACAGTCGAACCTCTATTAAGCGGCCACCCTCTATTAAATGGTCACCAATCAATTTCCCGAAATTTGCTTCCCATATTTACTGTAAATGTGACCTCTATTCAGTGGTCACCTCTATTAGGTGAACGCAGTCAATGTTTGGATTTCCCAATTGGTTAATTTTTTTGTTATTTACCTCAGTCTGTTAAACAGTCACATTGTTACAAAACAATCAATAAAAGACATATCGGTTGCACAAGATAAGAGACGCATGCCTAGTTTCTTTCACAGGTCTTAAAAGGCAACTTAACATTGTCGGTCATTGTATTAAACCTTGGTGTTAAATACACGTCTGTCTGGATAAGGTTTTGGAATTGCTTATGCACAGAATTACTGTAAAATTGTTGTTTACCCATGAACTCCTCAGAACATCCAAACACTTTTATCATATCCCACGTTACAGTTGTTGTGAACAGTAAATTAATTGTAAAGAAAGTGATAAAGTTTGGCCTCTGAATCAACTTCTTCATCAATTATGGGCTTAATTTTAGAAAACTTCTATTAACCGGTCAACCTCCATTAAGCGGTCACCTGGCTTATTCCCAAGGGTGACCACTTAATAGAGGTTTGACTGTACTTTCTTTAATTGCCCTACAAATGGCCAGATCTTTGCGTGGCTCAGGTGAATTCCTAAAATTGCTGTCCTGTCTCCGTAGGAGACATGAAAATATTGTCCCCATTAGCTAAATACATTGACCCTCAAATGAAGTGCATTTTCACGTGATCAGAAAATCAAACTGTACATGATCAGGTTACAAGTGGTACATGTAAATAGTGGTCAAAGCATGCATGATCAGATTGCATTCTATACATTTCATTCATTCTTAGTGGGAGTCCAAAAAAATACGGGCTACATACATGCAGTGCATACATAATAGCTACCAGGAGGTTAGAACTGACGACTCCTATCGTCGCACACAATTTGTTTTTCATTGAAAGGAAATCGCAACACAAACAAAAGTATTAAAAGTTTTACAACTGCATGACAAGTCAAAACTATCACACCACCGCTGCCACTGGAAATTCCAGTGACAACCGAATTACCCAAAAATATAAGCTCCCCCTCTTAAAACTCAAGTTGTTTACGATAAGTGCTTTTACTTACATGCTAAGTCAGTTTGCTCTGTCAGTAAATTGCCGTCTACTGAATCCAGGCCCATGGACAAAGCTGAGCCAAGCCCAACAAACTGTCAAAAAGAGGAAAAGATACCATTAAGTCCCAATAGTGACCAACATCAATTTTCTCCTAATGATATCCATACAATGTCAAGAGATTAGGTTATAAGAATTAATTAAATGATCACCAAAGAGAAAATGCTTTGATCTTTTCTCAAATTCTCTCGAGTCCTCATTCTTTAAAGAAATGTATAGAGATCAGTTTGAAGAATTTGCCTGTGGATATTAGGGCTTAAGGGGTTAATGTAAGAAGCAAATCAAACCTTACATAATTCTATCACTATGGCATAATTCATCAGCATGCATTTCTCACTCGAGGCTGTGCTCTAAGGTAAATTGAAGGGAGCCCAGTACTTTGAACCTGTGAAATCTAGGGTGCCCAGAAAATGATTCCGATGAACAATCTAAGATTTTCTAGTTGCCTGGGAGCAAGAGTTAGGCGCAAGAGGCAACCAGGTGCCACTAGAGAACAGCCTTGCCACTGATACTAGTAAGGAAAATTTGTTATTACAATCAATAGCCTTTTTCACTGAGTATCAGGGTTGTCAAAGGTAGCCGGCTGCCGGCAAAAATCGGCGCCTACTTGGTTAGCATTGGTCAGCTATTCCACTTGGCTTTTCTTTATGGATAACTTTTTATAACTGAAATATTCCTGGACTGGCTGCTTACTTTGACAACTCAGCCATCTACTTCAAAACTTTCTGATAACCCTGAGTATCGTTTCCTGTTATCTCAAGAAGTTAAAAAAGATTTAACGTGCCAATCACTCCAAGGGATAAACAGTTACACTGTTAGAATCTCACCTCTCCCATGACAGCCATCGGTGACACACCAATTGCTTTAGCAACTTTATGCTCCACCAAGTAAAACATGTACTCATCATAGAGAAGCCTAATCAAATGGAATGAACCAAAACTGGCTGCACTTCTCAAGGTCAAGTCACGGATGATCATAGAGCTAGAAGGAGCAAACAAAACAGTCAACTATTAGAACCTCTTTCCAAATATCAATTGATCTTAATCAATTTTTTCTTTACCATTAAGTCTAAAGGAAGAAGTAAATGGAAGGAAATAGATCCAAGTTAAAGTACTACTAGCATGTTTATGCAACCTGGTGGCAAAATGTTACACAGTGGAACCCTGTTAAAACAGTCACCAATGGACCAAAAAAATTTGGCCATATATTTTTTTGAAGACTTATTACAGCACTTCCACTGAAAGGTGGCTCTTCATCTGTAAAAATTTACATTAATATTAAAAAGTAATATTAAAAAATATTAATAAAAGGCTTTATCTATGTACAATATTAGGGATGCTACGGAAAAAAAAATAACGGGTGACCATATTAACAAGGGTTTTTCACAAGAAAATGTATGGCCATTTCGCCAGGCGTACAAAATAGTGGCCGTAACAACAAGGTTACCGTATTTCCGAGATGGCCGTAAAGTGAGGTTCCACTGTAAGTACATTCACACTGTAATGACTACACACAAATCCTTCTAAATTTTACTTGCATCAGATTGATTGTGATGATTTAAGTCAATTTAAGAGGATTTGCATATTAGAGTGCTAATATCCCACCCTTTAACTTCCAGAAAACTTTGTTGTGGCAAGAAGGAATTTTTCATCTTGCTCTTTCTCAATATCCCATAAATTCAGAAATCACATCTTTTCATTTGATGCAAGTAGATGGAAGTTACCTGTAAAATGACCACTTAAGAAGAAACTGCCTGGCTGCCTTGGGAAATTCATTAGTTCCCTCATGTTGTTTGAGAACCTGGTCTACAACACTTTCCAGCCAGCTAGCCCACTGTTCAAGAGAGTTCTGCAAAAATTGAAAATGACATAAGTTTTAAGCCAATAACCAGCTTAATCATAACTATAACAAAATTCTCAAATCTGATTGGTTCTCAACTGCCCTGATTTCAGCCTTAATAGGACAGTTTAATAGGACAGTACACGTCATGCCTAAGTAATTGGACAGTACGCGCCATCACGCGCACGCTTAAATGGCTTTTTTTTTCATTGCTAGCGAAAAAATCTTGGAATTTCTTGTGTTTTGATTTAAAAAGAGCCCTATATATCACAAATTTTGTTAAAGTTATGATTAATTGGTAACAGAACTTCGTGTCGTCCAATTCGGTCTGTAATCATACTCGTGATTAAACAAATCGGACTCCCGCTACACGGTCGTCCGATTTTGTTAATCACTTGTATGATTACAGACCGAATTGCACTCCACCCTGTCCTGTTACCATTACATATTGAGGGAAATGAAAAATACCACAATCAAACAGCATGACATCTACTGGTCTGTCAAATTTAAATGGTGGCTTGAAAAGTGTCTGTACAGAGGGTTGCATGTATTAAAACAATGATGCTGGCTTTTCCTGTTATTGTCAAAAGAATATTCCAGACTCTCTCATACTCTAGAGAACAGCATGGTGTTTTTCCTTAAATGTGTTTTTCCTTGATTCCTTGTGTGAATTAACAATCTTTAAACTGCACAGAATACAATGTACTCAGTCTGAGAAAAAGAACAGAGGGCATGATATCAGACCTGTTGTTGGAGAGTCAGTTTGAAATCTTGCTCCAGTCGATACACCATACTGTCATCACACTGGCAAACCCATGATGCTTGCTCCTGGAAAAAGAAATTAAACCAAAATTAAAATTGTTGGCGAAAAACAAAGGGGTGAAGGACACTAATTTTGTCTCTTTTGCAGACCCTATGTCTGTTTGTAGAATGCCAACAAGTCCACTCCTTCTGGAACCTTTTTACCTCTTCATGGAACGACAATAACTCGCATTAGTGGCTGACCAATAATGATAAAATCTAAGGATATCTCCCAGAGAATCATTTTTTCTATATGTATAATCTTTGCCTCACAGTTGCTCATTTCCATACCTACACCGCTGTCAAAGAAAGTGAACCGTATAGTTTCTAGCCTTTAAAGCTTTTCTGAAATACAAGTTATCCATAGAGCCTTCAAGCATTCAAAAATCCTTGAGACTTTAGCTGCACATAAGTGTGGCATGTTTAGTTGAATTTTGCTAGTGTTTTTTTCTTATTTTGATTATTAATTTAACATACTTTGTATGAATTACCTTTATTATATTTTTGTAGTGTCTCTCTCTGTTGATATTGCGCATTGTATTGACTTAAGCTTCAATAATAAAAAATAAAAAAACAAAAAAAAATTGCCTCTGTTGTAGGAGTTCTTTTGGGTCCCAGATTTGCCAGAAATGGCCTACAAATTGAATCCTGTTATCATATATTTCATTTGTAAGGCTGACTCCTCAAGCTCATACCAAATGATGTTGTGCTCTAGCATCACCCAGGGACCCCTGGCACCTAACATATGCTATATAGAAAACACATGCTAGGCCATGGCCACCATGGATTTCACAGGCTCAGAGCTGAGCTTTCTTCAATAGGGAGCTTCAAACCATGACGATGTTGACAGCAACAACAGCTTTCTGGGGGATCTAGCTTGAAGAATACTCGAGGTTCCTTGTAGCCGTCCTCCTCAACAAATCTAAAGGTCTCTATAATAGCATAAAAAAACACAAGTCTTACTTGCACATTGGCAAAGTCCACTCTGTTCAGGTCTGTCAACATCTGAGTGATCTGAGAGGAATTCTGCAGCACAGCCCGGGCAGCTTGGGCCAAGTGGTTCAAAGAGGTATAACGACGCAGAGTTTGTGCAAATGCACTACATGTTGACACCTGCAGAGGAAAACAATATTATTGAACATTAGCCACCTTAAGCAATAAGAACATTGATGTCCCAGACGTCAGAAATGGCAACCGGAAGTTCATATTATTTTTCTCTCTTCCAGTGCTCTGACTCGACAAATTTGTACAGCATGAGTTAAAACGAGGGTATTCAGATTCGCTGTGCGAGAGAAAAGCATTCCACCAAGCAAGACATCGAACTTCCGGTTGCATGATGTCACGGAGCTACAGATGTAGCATTCTCATTGCTTTTTTAAAAGCTCACTATTAATACATTGTATACACTGTAAACGGACATTGAAATTGGAAAAATATTGCTGTTTGGTTATACATGGCCTGGTTGTAATAGTTCCCAAATCCTCTTCCCCTCTTCAGTGTATAGTCAATTAAAGTGAAAAATCACTACTACCCGGTTAAAAACTTTATTGTGGCAGCAAAAAAAAATTTAAAAAAAAAAAAAGCTCAGGAAGTTTTAGAAAGAAAGAGTTAATAATTAATTGTGTAACTGATGAGGTGACACTTACTTTGACATCTGACATTTTCTTTGGGATTTGGTCCAAGCTATTCATAAGCCAAGCCTCGAGGCCCTTGGCAAAGTTACGCACGGCCTGTGTCAGAGAAGCTAAAAGCAAGAAGCCATAATATTAATCCTTTTTATGAAATGGGTTGTTCATACAAAAATATGCAGCGGGGCTTAAATTTAAAAAGGCAAAACCATACCTGGAATTGGTCGCAGCACATCAGGAATGAGGATTTCCACCAGAGTTTGATAAAGAAGGTGATCACTTGCTTTGACGAATGTTACTATTGGTTCATAGTCACACAGCTGCACAAGTTTGGACTGCGAAAGTCTACTCTCATACTCTCCATCATCACTATATAAAGAAAGCAAAACAGCATGTACATTCAGATATAGCTGCATAAGCCCCTTTCTTCTCCATTAATTTCTTATTATTTTCTTTTACATATTCAATTATTTCCTTTTAACACAAACGAAAAATTTGAGCGTTTGAAGTCTGTTTAACATTAGAATTTTTTACCTTAAAATGAAACAGAAAAAAACAGTAATTTAGTTTTATCTTTTCAGTAAGTTGAAAATCATGAACTGTGTAGTGATTTAAATAAAAGGCTTTCAAGTAGTATTTTCAGGTGGCTTATACAATGTACAGTGTATACTAGCTACACTGTACTTTTCTGCTGAAAAATTTAGAAATAAAATAAGTTTAACTCGCTACATCCTTACCCTCCATCTCGGTTACTTTCGTCATCCTCTGCCCCAGAACCAGATTTGGTATCTGTTGATGAATGTCGCCAAAACGTCTGCCACAAGGACTCAACCAGTGTGAACTGTAAATTGACTACAACATCAAGAAAGGCCTGTGCAAATCAACACAAACAAAACCAAAATCAATAAAGAACAACTTTGCATCTCCTTAGTCATAGAAATGGAACCTAAAATAAATGTAATCCTACTTTAGAAGAGTAAGCCGTACAGAAAATACTAATAGAGAACAAAAAATTCGAGAGTTTATTTGTGCCTACCTCACAGTGCTCGCGGTACATGTCAACAAAAGTGTCAAGATCGTGATCGGTAATTCCCTCTGTAATAAGAAAAACACACTAAAATATTAATGTCCATGTGAATGACTTGATGAAGGGATATTCTGGCCATAGGAAGCCCAAATACATTATATTATAACATGATGCACCACAAAGTGTTATAAACTCCTTCACAGTGTACATGTAGATGACATGCTAGAGCCTGCAGGATAAGATTCAAATTTTACCCGACCCTGTAAAAATACACTTGGTCCCAGTAGTTTATAGGTGGATTTTGCCAACTACTGGGTGAATCACTCTATTGCTCCCGAGGGCTCAACTGTTGGAAAGCGCTTAATCCACTGGAAAAGTTATTTTCCAGTAAAAATTAGGCAAACCAACTGTGTTATGTACTGGATAGAGTTTAATACACCTGAAAAACTGACACGTGACACCAGGTTGATAAGGAAAGCCCATAAATTAAAGTATAGTAAATGACTGTGTCCCTGGTTGTTTGGAATACATGTAACTGGATAGTACTAGCCTACTTTTATACAGTTGGGGGCTCACAAGTTGTAGGTGGAAGTGTACTTTGAAGGACTCAGAAGGCCTAATTATTTTTATTTGGAAATTCAAGGACTAATCTCAAGGTTATTCAAGGTGCATGCAGTGTTCTCACCAGGCCGCGGCCTTGCGTGATTCCCCCAGGAAAAACTGAAATGGCGCATTAAAACCAAGAAGATGCGCCCATTAGGGTGCAGGGGCAAGCTACGAGTCAAACGGACTTAAGTAGTTTTAATGGTCAACCTAACACTAAAGCATTCTGTTTGTTTGAATAAATAAAAAACATGATATCAAATGAGTCAAAGTCTTTAATTTTGTTGCCTTTGCTTTCATTGGTCCCACGCACGTCCCACTACATTGTAAACTCCTCCTCCGTATCCTAAACACCTCTTCCGCCATATTGGATCAGGTAGGTACTTCGTGTAACAGACAATTTGGAGTGCGGGCTCAGGTTCTTCGTACCGTGTCTTTTTTGTAACTTTGTCCCCCTAATGTTCTTACAGGGCCCCTATCTCTCAGAAGAGGGGGCCCTGGGACTCCCCAAGGCAAAATCCTGGTGAGAACACTGTGCATGAGAGCCCTGTCATGAAAAAATTAATGAAACTCTATAGATGTACATGTACATAATTATTATTAAGTGACCGTAACCTGGAAGAGGGCAATCCTTAAGGTCCAGCTCATCAAATTCTGGCAGCCCTTGGGTAACGTCACCCAGGTATTGCTGGTGCTGCTGCATCTGGCTCTGCTGTGCCTGCTGGTCTGTTGACACTGCTTGTGATTGTGATGCTGATTCACCTGCTTCTGATGCTTCCAACCTTGTAGCTGGCTTCAATCTAAGGAAATAAAAGCGATAGCAGTTAACCTTTTACTTTCAGTGTCAATAAAATTATGGAGACAGGTTATGTAGCTCTGACTTTTGACTTTGTGTAGGAAATCTTTTTAATAGTGTGACCCTTCAAGTTTGAGCTTGACTTTGCTATCCTGTGTAGGGTTCGAAAAAAGTCCCATCTGCTTTTCCAGGACAAGCAGATTTTCTTGCCAGGCAAATAACTTTTTAAGTTCACTTGCCCAATGGCCCTCTATATAGCATTCACCCTGTATATAACAGGTATACAGGTTTGACTGTAAAACCTTAATTTTCCATGACTTTCCAGGCCTGAAAATGAAATTCTTAAATTTCCCAACTTTCCAGGTTTTGCATGCCCTGTACGAACCACACCTTTCAGCCCCAATATCCACTAAAAGGATCATTATATGTTTCTGGGAAACTGCCCACCTACCCCTCCCCTAAGCAAACATTTTGCCCTAAGTGAGAAGTAAGTATAAATGTTGGCTTAGGGGAGGGGTAGGTGGGCAGTTCCCCAGAAACAGATAAAAAACAAACATATTTTCCACAAGGTGGATAGTTCAACCCACTGGTTAATCAATTTCCAGGGGATAACACTTCCGTAACACTATCCACTAGCCTGCGAACAGCAGACATTTCTCCTCACTCATTGGTCGACAGAGTAGTTTCATTGTTCTAGCTATTGTTTACAAATGACAGACAAAAGACAAAAGGCGGCAAAGGTCAAATGTAAACGCGATGAATCTCTCCTTGCGAAGCGTCCCTCAGCGGCGATGAGCGAGGAGAAACGTCTACCGTTAACCGGCTACTTATCCACTAGACAGTGAAATATCCACTGAACAGTGTTACCCAACTTTTGAACAACCAGGGACTAGAGAGGTACATATACTGCTAACATCCATTATGATAATATGCTAGTGTAAATGAGGCACAAGGTACCTACCTTTTCTGGGTGGAGGGTGACTGTCTCATGGCCACTTGGGAATCATGATCAGACATTTGATTGAGCGGAGAGCTTGGTTTTATGCGGATTCCGTAGTAATGGTACTTGGAGTTACCCCTGCAATACAAAACCACACAATCATGAACACATTGACAAGTACAACAAAGACAAAAAGTGACCACCCTTGAGTAGTAATTTCAATTAAAAAGGTTTGTACTCTTTTCAGCTCTCAAATTCCATGACTTTCAATAACTTTTTCCATGACCTTTTGAAGGTTTCCATGTCCTTAGGGTTGGCTGTCACTTTCAAACATTTTCAAAACTTTCCTTGTTTTAGAGTACTTTCTGACCTAACTCAGTACAACAGACACAAACTATGGTGTCTACTAAAATCTGTGTCATTTATAAATAGTCCTCTCTATATTACATTGTCCTTGCTTTGACATCTGCAGTATTTAATCTATCTAACATAACTTTTACTTTCCACGACTTTCCAGGACCAACAATTGCAATATAGAGTGAAACCTGTATTTAGCGGACACACTCGGGGAATACTGTAGTGTCCGCTTAATACAGGGTGTCTGCCTAATACAGGTTTCAATAGATAACGTCACATGAGGTGTCAAATGCCATTCAAATGAACAGTGGAAACATTTAGAATACTCCTAGAGACTATGACGATATACGTTTGCATGAATTTCTCTATCAAAGTGGACCAGTTGATCATAGTACCTTAAACATAGATTGCAACTCAAATTTGAAGAAATCAAATGAGTGAAAAAAGCTCTATACAAACAAAATGAAATAGAAAACAATACTGTACTGGGAAACTAATCAAATAAGTTCGTCAAGTCACGCTTTTTAATGTAAAAATCAAAAAAATTGTGGGTGGCAATTCGAGGTAATCTTTCACATTTCCGGTGTCTGGCATGTTGGGTGGTGGAATTTAATCACAAGTGTCCGTTTAATACAGGTTGGAAACAATAGAAGTGACCATTTCAGGTATTTTTTAGGTGCCCATGTCCACTTAATAGAGGTGTTCGCTTAATAAAGGTTTGATTTAAAGTAAATAAGGGAAATAAATTTGGGGACTTTGGCTACTGTCCGCTTAATAGAGGGTGTCCACTTAATACAGGTTTCACTGTATTATTAAATTCCCGTCCATGACTTTCTAGTCCTGGAAAATTAAATTCTTTAATTTCATGACTTTCCAGGTTTTCCATGACCTGTGCGAGCACTGGATTAAGCACCAACCTTTGAATAAACACCCCTCTTTTATAACAAATACAATATAATTTATTTTTGCTATAGCAGTTTAATAGCACAGGCCAGTTACCTTGTGCCCAGACGTCTGGTCCTCAGTCCCATGAACACAGATCTGATAAGTTTTCCAAAGCTTGCAGCATTCACAGCATCTAACTTGTTAGCTTGGCAGTGTTGTAAGTAATGGTTGTACAGAGTACTACGGGGTAAGCTTACTCCTTCTGCTGTCTCATAGTTATCTACCAGCCATTGTACCTTGAGAAAAACAAAAGACCAGTGAGCTACATATGCTGCAGAGTAAAATCTCACATCAAATGAAACCATGAATGATGATTTTTCTCAAGCTCTCCAAACCTGGTAATGGCTAGCTTATAAACAATGACACACAACAGATTATTAATAGTTATTTACGATTTTTATATGATTTTTTCTGAAAGATGCAAAGAAACCAACTAAATACAATTTTTTCTAGTTGGAACTAAAGATATGTAAAGAAATAAGGAAGAAGTTTAAAAAGCCTCTAATTTCTCTTTAGAGACTATCAAGTGTGCAGAAGAAAAATACTCCAGGGGGATTTATTGACTGTTAGCGCAAGAGGGTAGGGGTGGGGAAAGGGGCACAAAGATGGTTTACACTGACTGAGGAAGATAAAATAATGCCCATCATGTCACGATAGGGGGACAGAAAATAATGAAGACCCAAATGGGATTTCAAGCCATGACAGCTCTATAACGCTGGTTTGGTCCTCCAACCAGAGGGACTACAGAGAAACCAGATGGGCAAATTAGTAGGTTCATACATGTGACACGCCATGTTAAGTTACTCGGATTCCATAACGCGGGAAATTTTTGCTTGTGGAATCCAAAATCCAGGAACTTTTTTTTGTCATAATCCAAGGTTATGGAATCCCTAATTTAGCTCGATCAAGGAATCCATAACCCCACTAACATGTGGAAACCGAATCCATGTCACGCTGACATTGGGCAAATCAATTCTATCCTTCATTTCACTTACTGTAGCAGGAGACGCCCTGGTTGTGTGGGTTATTGGGTGTCTCTGAGCCTGCATGGTCGGCCCACTTGGAGTGTTAACTTGGAGGAGTGTCTGTCCACTGGAGACAGCCCCTGGTGTTGTGACAGTGGTGAAATTCTGTTGCCCAGGATCAAGATAGGGTGTTGTTGCTTGCTGAGCAAACATTGTGCCATCATTGTAGTGATAGGCATTTGCCCTAAAGAAAATAAAAATCAAACAGCTCTGTTTTATCTGTTGTTTCACAGTTTTGTCTGTCTGTTGGTCTAGTGTATAGTCATCCCCATTGACTTACCGTAAAATTCCGAAAATAAGCCCCTCCATGTATAAGCCCCCCAATCCGGTAATGCAAGAAACCCTCCGTTAAATCGCCCCTACAAACATAAGCCCCCCAGGGGCTTGTACTTGGAAAATTGCCGTTAAATACAAAGGAAAACAAAGCAAAAACGGTAAATTTACTTCCAACTATAAGGCTAGCCCAATCGATTTTGAAACGCAAATTTCCCTTCGTCGATAAGCCCCTCCGAATATAAGCTCCTCCAAAAATAAGCCCCTCAAAAAGGGCCTTTGAAAAATATAAGCCCCGGGGCTTATTTTCGGAATTTTACGGTATCCCAAAGTACTAGTAAGTTAAGGACACAGGATTTATTATCCTGTCAATGCTAAGGATACAATGTACATGTAGAATCACCATGCCATCTTCATCTTTGATGGGGTTATCCAAGCAATGCGAAGGTCAAGGGCCATTTAAAGGACAATATTATTACTTGGAGCTTACACAATCAGTTATTTAAAGTCCCTAACAATTAAGGATTTTGAATACTCTTTTTGCAAGCTCTAAGTTATTGATGATCTGGTAGGGGAAGAAAACCTCAGGTTCTCTTGTTTTCCAAAAACAAAATGATCCTCTGAGTTCCCTCAAGAAAGTACCCATGTTATAGTGAGTAACCGTAGTTGCATTTGAACATAATCAGATGGTTGAGCATTGAAAAATAGCAAATCATTACTACATTTAAACCCTATAAATCTGGACACTGAGGGGGTCTTTAAAAAAGTCCATGTTAACGGGGTGTCCACATTAAGCAGGTTGAGTTTAGAGAAAATGCAAGATCTTTTTCCGAGGGACAAAGAAAACTTTCAATAATAATGATAGGGGTGTAACGATTCATATTCCTTGCGATTCGATTCGATTTCGATCATTGGCTTTCGATTTTCGATTATTTCGATTTGATTATGTAAATGTTTCTTAATTCTTATAACATAACTCATAATGGTAACAATTAACATGCAACCCTAAACCCTCAATTTGAGAATAGTAACAGGGACAGGAGGATTCACAGTCGCTTGGTTCGTCGCCATGTTTGAGAACCTGACAAAGAGCGTGTCGCACATGGTTTGCCTTATTTGGAAATTCTCAGGGGTGGTTGAAGGACAGCATTTTTACCAGGCAACACAAACTGGCGCACGAACTGCTATCGTCTTTGCTCGTCAATCAAAAACGCACATTTTAAAGAGTTCTGGATTCTGATTTTACAATATTATAACTCACTGAGAGCACCCTGGAAAAGGTGTGCAAAAATCGAACCAAAATCGAAATGTGGAAGCAAAGAATCCTGAATCGAACCGAACAGTCATAATTGCGATTAATCGAGAATTCGATTAATCGTTACACCACTAAATAATGAGGTGTCCATATTAAGCGGGTGTTCACAAAGTGGGGCTTGGCCGTATTATTTTTCTACGTAAAAGCACTCAACCCGGCATAGTTGCCCACTCTCTCTAACAAAACCTGCACATGCACATGTGACAAATAGCACCTTACCTCCTCCCCCTATAAAACTTTTAAATAATAAATAATGCTAGAATCAACAACTCAATCTCAGAATTGAAGAGTTCTAAAGTTCTGGGGAAGTTTTCTTGATCTTGATGAAACAGAAGTGAAATCCTTCTCACTAAAATGCTGATTTTAAAATAATTGATTATTAACCATCCTTACAGGAAGGTCACATAAAATTATTATGCATGTACATGTACATGAGAGGTTAAACCACACTAATTGAGGGAATTATGCAATTTACAGTGTAAACAGCTGAGAACCACAAATTTTGTGGTAACAACTGATTGCTTTGCCTTCTGAAATTATTTTGGGGTGGCCATCAATAACTTTCACTTGGCAAAATATAAGGGCAAGTTTATATTTAGTGCATGACTCAAGGCTATAGAAATAAAGAATACTAATAAAAATAACTTGGCAAATGTTCTAGAATTCAGCTTTGGAGAGAAACAACCAAATTCAAAGTAATTTTCAGAAAATGGTCCTATTTCATATTTTAACTACACTAAAAAAACTTAAAGATTGAGATAGAGATTTCAAATTAGAAAGAGGAGAAATATATATCAAAGGCCTTATATTAATATCAGACAATGCGTCCCCATGCTGCTTTTTAACTAGATGTTTCCTTTAAAACACCAGATCCAAACAACTCTCTTTTGAATAAGATGATACCTTAGGTGAAGTTTTTTTGCCTTGAAAGCTTTTTAGAACTGACTATTAATGAAATAGCCATGAAACAAAACAGAAAAACTTGGAACCTTCACTGTGCATGACCCCCAAAGCAATATCACGTGAGAATAAATAAACTCTTACACTACTAGCTACGATCCAAAAGCTAGGAAAGCAGTTTAGAAAATGTTAGAAATGATTTGAAACTCACATATACGTAGAGACAGGCATCATGTGTGATAAACTTGCCATAAAATGTTTAAGAACAGAGATCAAAGTCTGTCCCTGCCTGCTTTGATCTTTCTACTCAACCAAGCTCACAAAATTGATTTTTCTTCTCATTGATTCATTCACAAAGGCTTCATGTGTTGCCATGGAAAAAAGTTTGGTTTCTTGGTAAAAATGTTAGATCTTGAATATTAATCCAACTTGTATAAATAAACATGGTTCAGCCAATAGTTTAAAGTTAAATTAAATGCAAAAATTGCTTTAACATCACGTTGAGAAAAAACAATATCCAAGACCACTAGAAATTTCTATGGTGATTGCCAAAGCAGAATTTCACAATAATTTAAATCAATATTTCAAAGTTTTACAACTGAGTTTGCACATTTTTGATGTACACAAGAAATAATTACAGCAGTTAGAGCCAGAATTTGACCAACTTTTACTCACAATAATTTTTTGCTGCTTTTAAAACCAAATTCTGAATAAATTGAGTGTTTTGTTTTTGTGTTTGGAAGGTATTGAAGCTTTGCCATATATGGTGGTTGATTACCATAAATTAAAATGTATGTATCCATAATAATCCTGTTATTTTCAAATTGGCTGAGCTTCAGATGAACTTGGCCTGTCTGTGGGTGGCTGAAAATTTCTTTGTAGTCATCGATCGATTATTTCTTTTGCAGGACTAAGGTTTTTTCGTTTGCTGCAAGTAGGTTTTGCTTCAGGAAAAACAAAAACTTAAACGCCGACAATCATTTTTCAGTTCCATGTGTTTTCTTATTGAAAATGCCAGGTGTTCACAACGTGTCCCTACAGGCAAACAAAGCAGGCATTCGATGGTGCTATCGCCCCTCAGTTAGTGAGATACCGACCAGATACACAAACAGCAATATTTTCAGTATGCTGTAACACTTCTTGCAATGTAAGAAATAAAGCTTACGTTGTTCCGTTGGGGTACATCGTGTGATCTGAGGGAGCTTCCACATAATGGACTTCTGCTGTTGGGAAACCTACAGCGAAATGAAAATAAAAGTAAACGCAATGAATGGCTACAGCATTTTTAATAATCACTAAAATATCCTGTATACGGTATCACCAAGTAAAATAAAGCATTTTAAACGCGGAATTGATCGTGCAAAGGTTTACTTCAATCTAGCTACACGGATTTGAAAGTAAATATACCTTCCTTTGCTTGAAATTCGTCGCTGGTTATTACATTGGCTGTGATTATCTGTGTTGGTTGCATAGTTCCTTGAGGAGTCTGTATCTGTGACGGTTGCACGGTTAAAGTTACAGTATTCACCGGCAAGTTAGTTTGGTGCGGTGAAGGGGAAACATTTTGCGAGGCTGCTACAATGCTATGCGACATAGCGGCCGTAGCAGTCGCAACTTGTTGCGAGAAATCCTGCGGGGAAGACACCACATTGCTGGTCGGGGCAGCCTGGGATTTCACTTCGCCAGAATCAAAGTTCTGTGGAACAAAGTTTGGCTGGGGCTGTGGAGTCGCCATTGGGCGATCTGAGAATGAAATCGAACAAGAAAGGTTTCTGTATTTGTGATAATACACATGTCAACATGGACTTTCAAAGATCGCATTTGAAACGTGTATTGCTTCGTTCGACTACGCACGAAAATTTAGCACTTACGTAGTTAACAATAAACGTTCCACAGATCCATCGCAAGACATATTATTCCACGTAGAAAAACAGAGAACCAAAGCTAAACAACAACGCTCTATCGGTGCAAGTGGAGGCTGTAGAAAAACTAGATTTCTCTTCATCGTCATGACAAAGAAAGCTTGAGATCAGAACGCGAAAAGCGCGCGTGAAAGGCAACAAATCGAAGGTGGAAACATTGAGTGAAATTAACAGCAAAATACACAGAAATATACAGGGAATTGTACTTCAAGTTCTACCATACCGGTTGTGGAATAATTACTCGAAGGAAATGCTGGGAAGGACTTCGTAACCTTGACTACACTGTCGCCTTGGAGAAGAATTTTACCTCGTTGTTGCTGACAACACAGCAAACTTCGCAACCGCCTTTCACTTCGCCACGACAACCGCCTCGTTCTTTCCTTTACTCAGGGGCGGCCCATACTTGTTGCAGGGCTTCGAGTAAAAGATAAACATAAATTCTTTTGTTTTCTCTTTTTTTGTTAAAAAAATGGACCCGGATGAAAATTCATCAGACAAAATTTAAAATAACTTTGGAAAAAAGGCCTTATTCTATTGTCACGTTTTTCTGTAACCCGTATATCGTGATAAAAATGAAATAACCAGAAACGCCAAATTCAAGCGATAACGCCTAGCCAGCCCCCCCGCGTGAAACACCACCTTCCCTTGGAAAACAAGCTTGTCGCATAATTAAATTTTGAAACTTTGAAAACTCGCTAAATTTCAAGTGATAAATTTGACACCTTTTGAAGATTTTTTTTTAAAAAAACTATAGAACAATGTGAGAAAAATTAACATATACGTCTGGTCTGGATATATATTTTTTGGGGTTAGAAATAAATAATTCAAAGAATACACTGTATATGGCGTCTCTCGATGTTGGCGGCTTTTGTTCTGGGATCAAGAAGAGCAACTATTTGCCGAGAGATTTTAGTCACACAACGACTATCAGGCATCGTATGCAAATACCAAAAAAACCCAAAATTCTCTTTGATTTCCCCGTACTACACAGTAAAGCAATTTTACTACAAGTTGTCATTTTTTTCCGCAACAATGCTAAAAAACCCTGGTTCAAGGAATGGAGGATCGCGTTCAGGAGGAGAGAGAATTAATCAAAAAAGGCATCAAATGTTTCAAATATCAGGGGAAAAAAAACATCATCTAAAACTTCTTAACATCGCAAGAACTGAAGAAACATGCATCCTCGCGTAACAGAAACCTGAATGATTTTACAAAATGATCAATGAGCTACCTAACCTGCAAGATTCAGTGTTTACTTAAAGATTATGGTCAGGGGCACCCAACGAGAATATTGTTCAAAACCACTTAAACATAGCATTGTTGAACGTATTTTAGTATTTAAACGGTAGGTATAAGCATATTTTTATCCCCTAAAAATTTTTCATCTGTTCGGATTTCCTAGCTGAAAGTCTAGTGATCCGAAAATTACAGGGATCAAAACTTACCTTTTCGAAAATTTCAGCCAAAGAAAAGGTTCCCGAAAATTCTAGGTGACCTTTCTAGGGTAAAAATCGGTTTAAAATGGGCAATTATACCATGTTTTGGATGTTCGAAAATCCTAGGAGAGGCAGGCAAGCAAGAAATTTTACAACAAATGTTCCGAAAATTCTAGATCTCAAATCGTCTTCCGAACAGATTTATGTTCGTGCCCTCAATTTTCGCATTCTCTTTTTTCGCAAGTATTAATTCTCGTTAATGTTCGTGGAAACCACAAAAAAGAGTAATTTATTACAGGGAAAATCTATTTTATAACTACAAGAAAATTGTATGTAGATATTATACGTATGATTATTCACGTAAAAAAGCGTTCATAAGATATTCTGTATTCACAATACAAACGCTGCAAAGTTTTTGGACAGGTTCCGTCTGGCTTCACATTCACTGTTAACCAGTCAGTATTTTCTGTTCTGAAGGTAACTTCCAATTCACATTGAAGCTCATTGTCGAATCGTCTTTAGATTTCACTGCCACGGTACTAAAAGACATGCGAGCAGGCCTTTCGAACTGTTTCCAAGCCAGTCGCTTTCCAGTTCTTGCTCTTCCCGTTGCTTATGCCGAAGCAGGAAAAGACAGATTTCACAGATAAAGATAAATTGTTCCGAGAATCACATTCACATTTGCGGAATTAGTGGACCGCGTCCACCCCTTTTTCTGTAAAATTCTGTTTTGTTTTTAAAGAATTCTCACGTAGTTCTTAGTAGAAGTAATAATAATAATAATAAGTAGCATCTTAATAGCTGGCCAGTGTCTCATCGCCCCTTTCTGAATTTTCTGGATCCGAACCTGATTCACACTCCCTTCTCGCTCGTTAGTTCAATTTGGAGGATGCTAAGCAACTGTTCATTTGCAAGAATGTCTACTGTTTAAAAATAATTTCCTTGAACTAAAAAGCAAGACGAAAATCCCTACTAAGACCGAAATATTAGAACCAAATTCACTCTGTATATAGACATCTTGGCATTTTTTTCTGGTACAGCGGAACACGAAAAAAATTTTATCCTGCCCCGATTTTCGTTTGATTCTTAAATAGGATAAGCCTCTGTCTTTCAATAAATACGGTATGCGTCTCACGGAATTCTGGTCGGCAGTTTTCACCGAGTTTCGAAGTTGAAAAATAATAAAATCTTTTCAAGACATATCTTTGAAGAGAATTCAGTGATCTGCATTACATCTGTCCGCTTCATTCATTCGTTTCACACCTCGTCACACACCAACCTCGTTGTGCACTGCTACGACACAATTGCCTGCAAATAGCTTATCGAATAAAACCGTTCTAGTTTCCGGAGCTATTTTGCCTCAATTTTTGACATGCATTGCCTTATTTAAAGAAAATTCAGCTACTATGAAGAACGGCTTTCTGGCTTTTAGTCTGTGGATCAAACTTAAGTTACTGAGCACTGAGACTTTTCTTATTTAAACTTTTTATCATTTCATTCAAGCCGCTTCTAACTTCCTAGCATGTACAAACATTTGAACTAAGAACATTGATAAAAAAGCATAACATAAAAAAGCTCTTTGGCAAGTACGACATATCTTTGTGCAGTTCATTAGCTGTAGCTGCGCTGTCAGTGTTCACTCCAGTGGTACCGATAGAAGGAAGGCCACTTTTCGAGCCAGTGGAAAATTAAAACTATAATACACACGCCAAATACATGTTCTTGAACAGTACTTTCCGAAAGTGTTTCTCAAAATTAAATGGGTGAAACCCTAAGTAATGTTTAACTGAAAGCTACTTGACAGTACTAGCTTGAGGTGCTGTTTATTACGCTGTACAAGGTGACTCCAACTTTAAATTTAACAGGATTGACAGTCTGGCTATGAAGAGGTATATAGATCTTCTTAGAACTTTGTCACCTGCAGCTTAGTCCAGTTGTTCCTGACTGGTTGCTACAGTCTTGAAAGCTGCTGCTGGTTATTTGGTTATTTGTGGGTAATCTTGATTAAGATACCATAAGCTATACCATAGAAACATGCCAATTCATTAAGGTCTTGAATCTGTGCACGAAATCGTTAAGCACGGACCATTCAAATAAAAGCTACTGAACAGTACTTTCCTGTGGTACTGTTTATACTGCACAAGTTGGTTTTAACTTTTGAGTCTGTGGATGAAATCCTAAAGTGTTAGCACAGTTCAATGAAAGCTACTAAGAAGTGATTTCCTGTGGCACTGCTTATGCTGTACAAGGTGGTTCTAACTTTAGAGTCTGTGAATGGAATCCCAAAGTATGACCATTTAAATGAAAGCTACTGAGCAGTGCTTTTTTGTAATACTGATGATTACACTGTACAATCCTAAAAAGCGACCATTAAAATGAAAGCTACTGAGCAGTACTTTTCTCTGGTCCTGTTCACTATCTGTGCATGAGATCCGTAAGTGTGTCCATTCAAATGAAAGCTATTGAGCAGTACTTTCTTGGGTACGGCAATATGCTGTACAGGGGGGTTCTACCTTTAGAGTCGTGAATGGAATCCCAAAGTTATATGACCATTCAAACGAAAGCTACTGAGCTGTACTTTCTTGTAGTACGGCAATTTGCTGTGCAAGGTGGTTCTAAGTTTTGAGTCTATACTGTGGAATCCTAAAGTGTAACAATTCAAATGAAAGCTACTGAACAGTACTTTCTTGTGGTACTGTTTACCATGCTGTACAAGGTGGTTCTAACTTTTGAGTATGTGAATGAAATCCCTAAGCGTGACCATTCAAATTAAAGCTACTGAGCAGTACTTTCTCGTGGTTCTGTTTATTATGCTGTAGAAGTTAGTAATATTTAAAATACGTTTAAGTCTGCGCCCTGCATGGAGTCTTTAAGTGTGACCATTGAAATCAGTGAATTCCTCTTGGTAGGCTTCAACAGTAAACTTAGCGATGTTTACTTGACGGTGTACCAACGTCTCTCTGGACCAAAGTAAAAGCTACTAATTTATAAACTGTATTTTGGGAGTGCTGTTTAAATGCTGTTCAAAACTGGGTGTCACTTTTGCCTAAGCGTGTGAATGAGATCCTGAAGGGAGGCAAGAGGAATAAGTATTAAATGAAAATCTAACCAGTGTTTTGTCGGTGGAAATATATAAATGGAAGTGAGAACTCTTCTTGAAAAACGTTGTGTAACTGTAAGCTAGTGTTTCTCTCACTAAGGACGGGTAGAAAGTAAGTGGACTGACATCTTCAAGTTTGATCGATTGTTAATGTGACAGGCGAAATCTGGAGACTGTGCTGATGTCTGAACCTTCTTTTCTGCAACAGAGGATGAAGGTTTATAGTCCTAGTGCAGCTAACACAAAAAAATGGGGAAGTTCTCAATAGGCAGTCGCTTTGTTAAACTATGACACTCCTTTCATTTGTCAGCTGTAAAAGTGTTTCAATTTACAGGAATTCCACACTGCACCAGCATTGAAATATGCAGGCATAAGTGACGGTTTGAAATATAATAATTAATTTTTAGTCATCAACCACTGAGAGAATTCTTCAATATGTGTAATTCTTAAAGAAATGTTAACGCTTTTTAAGTGTTAGTTTCTCTTTGTTTGTGCAAGTGCAAAACGTGCACAGGTGTTTTCTCCTGAGCTGTTTAGCATTCTAAGGATGAGTACTTAAGTGCAACTTAAATTCGGCTTTAGGGACAGTGCCTTGAGGATTTTTACCGTTTTCTAGCAAACAATTAGATAAAACTACATTTCAATGCCCTTTTCACATATCAGTTACGTCGCTTCTATATCGATCATCAGTGAGTGTCGAGACGCTGTGAGCACTTTGCCGGTGTCAGATTTTCCCTAAAAGTTTGTAATCAAACGTGGTTAGCATTTTCTCTTCCTACATACTGAAGAAAGGATTTTCCGGAGTGAAACAAAAATCTCTGTCTTCTCTATGAGTTTTCACATGTTACATTTTCTTCAACTATTTTTCCAACCAATGAAAATGGACATCTTCAACTTCGATCTCATTACTTTTTTACGACACCTACAATGATGAAATCTATCATACTGTTCTTTATTAGCTAGAATTGAAAGTGACATCGCTGCAAACAAACTGCTGATTTTACTACCATGCTCGTATACTTATGGTTCTTGGAACCCATTTGAGAAAAAAGAAAACCCATGTAAGTGCAAAAAGTAATCTTGACTAACGTCTAACAAGCCTTATTTTGCTACGATGTTCACACTCTCTACCTCTTTGCTATTTTTAGACAAGAGGCCCATTTGTGTGTCAAGATTAAGGATTACCCAAGCAAGTCCCAAAGGTAAATTGGTTACATAACAATTGACGAAACGTATCTGCGATGTTCACAGTATACTTTTTTTAAATTTCAGAAAAAAAGACTCTTTTGAGTCAGACACCCATTTAATATATATAAGTGAAAAAGGGAAACTTACATCACGTCGAACAAGCCTTATTTTGCTACAATGTTCACTCTCTATACTTCTTTTGTTTTTTGTTATAAGTGCAAGAAAACTTTTGCATACTGTTTAAAAGCCTTATTTTACTACGATCAGTTCACACTCTACATTACTTTCTTTACCTTAAAACAGAGACCCTTTTCTTCCAGGAACGCATTAGAGAACAAAGAAAATCCATCTGGGTGCAAAATGAATGCAAAAGGGAATCTTGCAAGACTTCTAAAAAGACTATTTTTTGCCATTCACAATCTACGCCATGCTATTTTTAGGGGAGAGACTATTTTATGTCAGGGACAGGCCCAACTGAGAACAAAGAGAAGTCGCTTTAGTGCAGACTGAAAAGAACACTACATGAGAAGTCGTACAATCGGGGAGAAGAAGTCATTCAAGCGCAAGGGGAACCCATTTGAATGTACCCTTCAGTTTCAACTGCTTCCATTCTATTTTAGGCTACAAGTTAGCGTTTTTTTTCCCTCAATAATGGCCGCATTTTCATTTTTTCTGTAATACAATGCATGGTATATTGTCCCTTCCTTTGGCAATGCGCCTGCCATTGTTCTCCCTATAGAACACTGGATCCGTTTTGTTCTTATTATAACCTCCAAAAAAGTGGCTCCTTTCTGTAATGCGGACACTTTTTATGACTCCTCATTTGTCTGTTAGACTAATTATTCCTGACATTTTCTTGCTGTTTCTTGTGAGTTGCAGCTGTTTACTTGCTTGCAGGTACCCTTAATTACAGGTGTTTCCCTAGCTACAATGCCTTTACATGATGGCGTGTTATACTACTTTTTATTAAAACCTGAATTATTGGATAATGCAACTCTAGAGCTCTGATTGGCTTAGCCATCATGGTATATGAGCCATGCATTATACCATGCTCTCCAAGTATGGTAACTGTACGCGTCTGGTCAAAATTAAAAACAAGCTGAAAATCGGTTGTTTTTACAACGTGCCGAGTTGGCTGTCTACCATCTCTTGTCCAACGCGCACTCGTGGAATAATTGTTAAATCGCCTATCACCTTTAGCCTGTGTACAGCCGCCCCTAGGGGCGGCTGTACACAGGCTAATCATCTTGGGTCAATTTAATAAAACTTTCACACGTGTACGTGTAACAGTTTTATTAAATTGACCCGTGGTATTTTACGTCGGCAAGCAGCAAATGCATTGAGCGTCAGACTGTCTCACAGATAAAGAATTCGCAACTAATTACCTAAAAAAAAACTAGAGCCCTCTATCCGTGAAACTAGAAAAGGCCGAGTTAGTTATGCGGCGCGTAATCTACTTTTTGTAATGTGCTGTCACCCTTCTCACCAGACTTAACTTGTTTTAGTTTTGTTTTCCTCTCTGCGACACACTTGGGTTGCATGTTAATGCATGGTCTTGTGAGGCGGGTCACGATGACATCGTCCTTATCTGTAACTAGTAACATGATGAAGTATTGTCAAAAAGGAAACAATATTTCACTTTATCACAAAAGCCAAGTTCTCTACCACAGAGAAGCATTCAGTATTCTTGCAAAGAGAAAAAGGTTATTTCTAAAAGAGACGCGACCATTTTTGCCTGCACACTTGAAGGGTGAATCATTTGTTATATCTGGAAGAGACGCTTTGTCGCTAATGCACTTTAAGGACAATTCAGCCTTTTCTGTCCACCATATAGGTCCTTTTGCCTAGGGCTTCAGGCATCAGTGTCGGTTAATAAGCAGTCTATTGGCATCTTGTATCGGCGGAAGGAACTAACTCGCCCACACAAAATACTAGCCTCTGTCACTTAAAAAATAACTAATATTGGAAAGGTGAACACCTTTTCATTGATTGATGGAAAATATCATCCTAGCTACCTTCTCGATGAGCTAAAACTTCCGCAGTTAAGAAAAGAAATCACAAAATTTACATCCATATCATTTTAGCTAAATAACGGTTCGTCCGGTTGGGTTCCCCGAAATAAAAGGCGATCTGTTAAGGTGTTTCAAAATATTCCCAAAACAACAATGAATGACGTAGTCTTTGCGATGGAGCCTAGGAAAGGAAACTGAAATCAGGATTTAGTAAAACAAATTGCAAACAACAAATAAAAGTATTGCAAAAGTTTCAGAAGCACCATCTTTTTGGACACCTGTTTTTTTTGGAGCCTCGACGAGCGTTATTGAAGTTCGAAGAGTTTATTTACGGCGGTTGCAGAAAATTATCAGAGTTAACGTTTAAAATGCGTTTAACTGCTAAATATGTAGTTAAAAGAGATTTGATCCAGGTAACTAGATTAAAAGGAACTACAAAATATTATATTTTAAGTTTTAACGCCGATTTCACATGGAATCACCGTCAAAGATTTAAAGTTGGAAACAGCATTTTCGTCAAAACCATTGTAAATAATTAATGTGAACAGCTTGCTGTACAGACAGTCAAAACGCACTAAGACAGTTATCTTTTAAAGCTCAGAAGAGGCTTTTGACATACTCGAATATAACGTAATTGTAACAAGGACGGACCTACAACGCCATTGAGGTCAACAACAATATCTCACTAAAAACTAATCTTCAATTTCCGAGTTCAACGAACTTGTCATCATTTTTAAAAACGAAGGAGATTTAAAACAATCAAAAGAAAATGACGTAGCCATGAGAAAAATAAAACAACGCAAACAAAAGCGCTGAATAAACAACTTAGTTTTCACAAGTTCTGGAAATTTCAATTACTTGCGCGGGCTTGCAATCCTCTAGAGTGGCTGGAAATAACTAGGAGCAAGTCACTTCAACACTTCTGCCACAATATTTCTCTTCTTACGCGATTAAAAAAAAAGAGAGAGAAAGGTATAAAAGTAAAACAAAAAGAACTTACGGTTTAAATAAGGACCAAAATGCGAGAGTCGAGGAACTGCTGGAAAGAAGGGCTGTCTGTAGTTGTAAGCAGGCAACCTGCAGATCGAGGACTCATAACGCTCTTGCTTAGCAAAACCGGAAGACATATTAGAAGACAAATCTATAAAATTTTCCATGTCGAACATACAAGCTTGCTTTTCTTCCCTTTTGAAGGTTCGAATTGGGGGATTCATCGTGTAACAATCGAAGCTGAGGTCAAGTAACTCTTCCAATATGGCCATTGTTACCACATGCTATAACATCGACGTCCAAATGATAACAAACTGGGGTGCTAACGATGTTATGAACCTGTGAATTAGCATACTGTTGCTCGGGATAAGTAGCGTACGTAGCAACCCTCGTGGCCGGAACGTTGTGAAGGATGTGAAACGGACCGCGATAATTTCGACAATATCGAACTTACACGAATTCCTGTGCTTTTACTTCACACAAAATGCCTTTAATTTGGGCTTGAAAATTCTCCAAACTCCGCTGTTTTTTCTTCCTTTTTGATAACTCAATCAAGACACTAAGAAATACATGATTCATTTAATCAAAGATTTTGTGACGGAAAATGATCAATTTGTAACAATATTATTTCCCCTTGTCCAAAGAATAGCTATTAGCACCAATTTTCTCCAAGTCTGACGCTTTTTTTGGTTCTAACGCTTGAACCGAAAAGCGAAAGTCAAAAACATGATCCAGTGTTTACATGTTCCACAAGATTGACTAAAAATAGCTGGCGGAACAAGGGGCAAGACGTCCACGTAAACCAACTCAACCCCGAAATCTAAAAACAAGCAGCTTGACGTAGTATTCGGCAGTGGGGTGATCAATTGACGTGATTAAATGTCATTATTACTTTTTGGCCGGCGGAAAAATTGCAGAACTTCCGGTCTTTTGACCGATTTGTCACGTTAACATGGCCGCAGGATAACACAGCCATGCATATACACTTGGAAACGAAAGCGATGAGACTGAATTTGTAAATATATAAACAATCCCCAATCTATCACAGTTTGTTTCTTCATTCTAACTTCGGTCATTAGTTCATAAATGAGAATAAATGGTGAAGGAATTGAAATGAAAGTGCTGCTTCACCCTTTAAAGAGTCTTTAAAAAATGATTGTACTTTAATAAATATAAATTCAATACAACATTTTTATGAAGCACGCGTTTTCTGAGATCGAATGAAAAAAGTATTTCTGACAACGTAGATATTTTAAAATTTCAACAGCTAGACCACGCCACTAAAAAGTACTGTTTGAAGCCTTTTTATGAAGGATTTCATCCAGACCCTCAAAAGCTGAGTAAGAACAAGTTAACCATCTTGTAATGTGTACACTTTATAGTCATGCGCCACGAGGAAGTATTGCTCATTTTTCAAATGAATGCTGGAACTTTAAGATTTCATCCACTAACTTAAAATTTTGAGCCACCTTGTACAGTATAATATACATTACAACAGAAAAGTACTTCTTAGTAGGTTTCATTTGAATGGTAATACTTTAGGATTCCATTCACCGACTAATGAAATTTAGAACAACCTTGTATAGCACAGTAAACTGTACCATAGGAAAGTACTGTTCAGTTGCTTAAAAGTTAGAAAGCACCTTTCACAGCATAATAAACCGCAGTATCACTGGAAACACTTAAGGATTTCGTTATGACTTTAACTCAAAAATTAAAAGCACCTTGTACATCATAATAAAACGGTTCCACAGAAAAACATGGTCATACTTTTAAGGGTTACATTAACAGCAAAGAATTAATCGACAACTTTCATCCGAATGCGAATAATTCTGGAAGATTTCAGCTTACAAACTCAAAGGTTTGAGCAACCTAAAAAAAAAACATGGTGCGAAGCACCTCAGTTGCAGTAGAGCTCAGCACATCTCATTTGAATGGTTAGGATATTCCACTAACAGACCTTCAAAAGTCTCGTGAAATTCTTTCCCCTTAGCTATTATCGGAATAGTCTATTGGATTTTATCTACTGTTATAAATGGTTGACGCTAATATTGCAGTGAGACGTTTTTTTAACAAAGAAAAGGTCAGTGTTCCATGAAAACCCATGAAAAAGGCAAAACATAACGTAACATAGTTGGTGCTGCACAGAAGAACTAAAATTAAAGGTTTTTTTTCAGTTGATAACCCTGAGCTGTCAATAAGCAAGAAAATAGAAAAGCTGTCGTTTCGGTCATAAAGCCAACGTATCAAGCATTGTAACAACTGTTATGTGTACTCAAAATTCATGGTTTTTGATGCATAGGTATTGCCATCAACTAGACCTAAGGAGCTGTCATCCACAGTTAGTATTCCCTGCTAGCAGAGGTCTCTCTACTAGCAGGGAACAGTTAGTATAACTTTCCGATACAATTCGACCTGGTAAATTAACGAACTCCAATGACACATCAGTTTAGTACAACGAAGGCTACTAAAGGCAACCGTCAACTATTAAAGAGATTGCATTCGGACTCACCATGATTATATCGATCTCTCCTGTGTGTTGATGCAGCAAAAGAATCGTACAGGCCAGCACTATTGAAGAAACATAACTACCTTCCCGCTTAAGCGAGAACAAAACCGATTTTCGTGCGCTGCTTGCGATTTGGTGGCCATGCAAAAGGCAAATGAATTTACAATCGGTCAACTTAAGGGTTTTAATTCAAATAATTTTCAAAACCGCGGAACAGAGACGCTCTGCTACTTAGTAACGATAAAACGGTTGTCCTGAGAAATCTGCAGAAATAGTAACAATTGGTAACATAACGTCGATCAAGAACAATTTAACAAGCTAATTCGAAGTGCCCGCCCGGCATCCCAATAAAATCAGTCTTCAACTCTATGGAGACAGGAAAAAAGAAGCAGTTTTTTGCCTCAGTCATGGAAACAGGACCGAGAAAGGACTGCCCCTATGTCCTAAGCTAAAAGCGGCCTCCTTGATATTTCCAGGCTAAATGGTGACAAGCTAAATCAGTGTTCCTAGCTATCGAAACAGTCATTGTGTTTCGCAAAAACCGCCTGTAAAGCTGATGGTAAGTCAGTTAAGTTAAACAGAAAGGAGCAACCCCTGCAGACAAGACAACTAGACAACAAATGCAAAGGTATTGTTTTCTGCTTCTGCCGAAATTTAGCAAAACAGCTTTATTTCAGTTCCGAATAAAACTGAACATCATCGAAGAAACATACTGCCAATAGCCTTTCGTTCAAGACCACACTTAAAAAAGAAACACAATGACCTCCAACGTGGCCACCGGAAAAATTGCCAAGTTATTCCCATAGCTGCAACTTTGCAAACAGGTCACTTTGCTTTCACCATCCTGGCGCCATCGCTGGTGACACGAGCGTTTATAAATATTTAATCTTATTCCACAGTTAAACACCTTTAGCAACTGAAAATAGCTAAATCTTTTTCTCTGCGGTCATAGCAACATCAGAGAATTTACAGGAAGCGGCAAACTAGCAACAGGCAAGCTACACAATAAAAAATTAAGAAAGATAATTTTGATGGAAAATTTTCCGAATTAAAGTACAGGAAACAAATATCGAGAAAAATAAATTACAAATGGAACGCGTGGTTTACGTAACAACACGGCTAGAGATATTATAACTGCAGTTCAAAATGCAGCGCAAAAACCTCAAAAGATGAAAAATGAATTTCAGGCCCCGAGTGTTCAAACGTCGGATAGCGCTATCCACCGGATAAATCTCTATCCAGTGGATAGCGCAATTGGTTTCCATAATACTTATCCGCTGGATAGTGATTTATCCGGTGGAGAGCGCTATCCAACGGTTGAACAACCGGGGCCAGATCAATAGTACAGAAGGGTGACTTTGCTAAGTGTTAAATTGACTAAAACATCAATGAACAAGTATAGATTGCGTGAGATCCTTGTATATGCATATATTATGCAGATATACACAATGAGTGAACTTCGTCATTCAAAGCCGCTGACCCTTGTCGCACAACCATGCATAACCTAGATTTCGCAGATACCACAGGGCCTCTACAGTCTGCTGAATTCATGTAAACAAGACTCGTTTAATTGAGTTGCAGATATATTTAGAATATTAACCATCAAGAATGTCTTTTAGTTGGTATAACAACCATGATAACCAAAAAATTAAGTAGAACGAGTAAGCAAGAACTGATTTATAATAATGAAAGCCTTTGCTTGATCCCAACAGGCTGCTGTTAAGGCCATTCATTATTGCTTTGCCGAGTTTTAATGGGAAAAACTAACAATCTGTCCCCAGTTAGTTTGCCGTCGTTAACAGGTTTCCCCTACAAGAAAAGTTATCATTCTGTAGTTTAGCACACCAGTAAAGCACTTTCTCAGCTGTTGTCTGTGCCAACCGGGCTCAAGCATGCAGTAATATTATGAACTGCTGTCGAATTTGTCACTTTATTTTGATTTTTTCGTATCCCAAAAAAAAGAAGAAAAACAAAACACACACACACGCAAAACAAGCAGATATACATAACTCGGAAATGTTCGTATCAAAAACGAAGTTAACGTCAATTGCTATTTGTCGTGATTTACAACGAAGGTTTTTTTTCAAGCCGTCATAACAACAAGGAAGACAAATCGCAAGGATCACGGTTTCACTTAGCACTTTTTAATACCACTGGAAAAAATCCCAGAAAATACTAGAACCAAAATATTAAGTTTCCATAACAACTCAGTAATTTCAAGCCGAGAAGCAAATACAGTGATAATTTGTAACATTTTTAATTGATTCCAACAAATCCACCTACAGCGTGATAGGATAATGACGCTATTCAAATTCACTGACCCCTCGAAAAGCGCGGGAGCCATGTTAGCTCATGCTTGACTGACATCCGCCTAAAGCAATAAGGCAGCAAAAGACTATGTGAATACTTACTTACACACGTGTTACGATGTTTGAATTAGAAATAATTGCTCAGAGATAACAGAAAATGCCAATTTTAACGTTAATTTGAATGTTAAACACGTACGGAAGTCTAAAAAATGCCCTCTAGAACCTTGGTTATCGGCATAACAACAAAATAAACAGAGATTACATCATTGAAAGTGGTAAAATAAAAAGAGCCTTGGATAATCAATGAACAAGACAGTATCACCACTTTCTATACTTCGTCTTTTGCTTTGTGATAGTTTTATTGGATAACGCACACTTTTGCTACAGATGTGGAAACGGCAACTATTTCTAAAAACTGTTTCGCCTTTCAAAGCTTTTAAGGTGTTTGATTTCA